ATATATATATATATACTGAGATCATGTGACACTTTGATTGCACACAGGTGGACTTTATTTAACTAATTAATGTGACTTCTGAAGTTAATTGGTTGCACCTGATCTTATTTAGGGGCTTCAAAGCAAAGGGGGTGAATATATATGCAGGCACCACTTTTACATTATTTATTTTTTTGCATTTCACCAATTTGGACTATTTTGTGTATATCCATTACATGAAATCCAAATAAAAATCAATTTAAATTACAGGTTGTAATGCAACAAAATAGGAAAAACGCCAAGGGGGATGAATACTTTTGCAAGGCACTGTACATGTTAGGGACAGCAATGGGAGGGAGACTGGTTTGTATTCCTGTTAAGGTTCCAATTAGGAGTGGTCCCTTTTAACTCACAACATTTGTGGCAATTACACAACTACATTTAAGCGTTTTTGCAAATGTGTTTTGCTACACTTATAAAAAATATCTCTAGCTCTGGCTTAGAATGTTTTTCTTGATTTTTTTGTATTCTTCTACGTAATCAATATATCTTAGAGAAGACTGGACACACAACAAATGCTACTAATAGATACATCTGGATCTAAGGAGATGAACTACAGTTGAAGTCGGAAGTTTACATACACCTTAGACAAATACATTTAAACTCAGTTTTTCACAATTCCTGACATTTAATCCTAGTAAAAATGTCCTGTTTTAGGTCAGTTAGGATCACCACTTTTTATTTTAAGAATGTGAAATGTCAGAATAATAGTAGAGAGAATGATTTATTTCAGCTTTTATTTCTTTAATCACATTCCCAGTGGGTCAGAAGTTTACATACACTCAATTAGTATTTGGTAGCATTGCCTTTCAATTGTTTAAATTGGGTCAAACGTTTCTGGTAGCCTTCCACAAGCTTCCCACAATAAGTTGGGTGAATTTTGGCCCATTCCTCCTGACAGAGCTGGTGTAACTGAGTCAGGTTTGTAGGCCTCCGTGCTCGCACACACTTTTTCAGTTCTGCCCACATATTTTCTATAGGATTGAGGTCAGGGCTTTGTGATGGCCACTCCAATACCTTGACTTTGTTGTCCTTAAGCCATTTTGCCACAACTTTGGAAGCATGCTTGGGGTCATTGTCCATTTGGAAGACCCATTTAGTCCTCTGTAGCTCAATTGGTAGAGCATTGCACTTGTAACGCCAGGGTAGTGGGTTCGATCCCCGGGACCACCCATACGAAAAAAAAATGTATGCGCACATGACTGTAAGTCGCTTTGGATAAAAGCGTCTGCTAAATGGCTTATTATTATTTGCGACCAAGCTTTAACTTCCTGACTGATGTCTTGAGATGTTGCTTCAATATTCCACATCATTTTCCTTCCTCATGATGCCATCTATTTTGTGAAGTGCACCAGTCCCTCCTGAAGCAAAGCACCCCCACAGCATGATGCTATCACCCCCTGGCTTCACGGTTGGGATGGTGTTCTTCGGCTTGCAAGCAACCCCCTTTTCCCTCCAAACATAACGATGGTCATTATGGCCAAACAGTTCTATTTTTGTTTCATCAGACCAGAGGACATTTCTCCAAAAAGTACAATCTTTGTCCCCATGTGCAGTTGCAAATCGTAGTCTGGCTTTTTTATGGCGGTTTTGGAGTAGTGGCTTCTACCTTGCTGAGTGGCCTTTCAGGTTACGTCGATATAGAACTCGTTTTACTGTGGATATAGATTATTTTGTACCTGTTTCCTCCAGCATCTTCACAAGGTCCTTTGCTGTTGTTCTTGGATTGATTTGCACTTTTCGCACCAAAGTACGTTCATCTCTAGGAGACAGAATACGTTTCCTTCCTGAGCAGTATGACGGCTGCGTGGTCCCATGGTGTTTATACTTGCATACTATTGTTTGTACAGATGAACGTGGTACCTTCAGGCCTTTGGAAATTGCTCCCAAGGATGAACCTGACTTGTGGAGGTCTACCATTTTTTTTTTTCTGAGGTCTTGGCTGATTTCTTTTGATTTTCCCATGACGTCAAGCAAAGAGGCACTGAGTTTGAAGGTAGGCCTTGAAATACATCCACAGGTACACCTCCAATTGACTCAAATGATGTCAATTAGCCTATCAGAAGCTTCTAAAGCATGACATCATTTTATGGAATTTCCCAAGCTGTTTAAAGGCACAGTCAACTTAGTGTATGTCAACTTCTAACCCACTGGAATTGTGATAAAGTGAATTATAAGTGAAATAATCTGTCTGTAAACAATTGTTTGAAAAATTACTTGTCATGCACAAAGTAGATGTCCTAACCGACTTGCCAAAACTATAGTTTGTTAACAAGAACTTTGTGGAGTGGTTGAAAAAAACGAGTTTTAATGACTCCAACCTAAGTGTATGTAAACTTCCGACTTCAACTGTATGTAGTGTTTGACATGAGTTTAGGGCCCTGTGTAGCTCAGTTGGTAGAGCATGGCGCTTGCAACGGCAAGGTTGTGGGTTCGATTCCCACGGGGGACCAGTATGAAAATATAAATAAAAATAATAATACTGTATGCACTCACTAACTGTTAGTCGCTCTGGATAAGAGCGTCTGCTAAAATGTAAGATGTTGCATTTTTGCAACTGGGGGTCTCACCAGGTTAAGGATTTTGTTTCTAAAATGCTGACTCTGCTACATTATCTCACTATGGGAAAATTTGTGTTGCAGACTACAGTTGGAGAACGAAAGGTCTCACATGGGATAGGTCCCTAATACGCAAAAATTGTTTACTTTCCTACATACGTCCTAGTACCTTCCCAAACTAACTAATCTTAAAAGTCTGGATAGTTGAAGAGAATATGGAGGCAACTCCCCTGAGCATAGAGGAAGGCATATTGCTTTCACCTATCCAGGCATCAGTGTCCTAGTAACCAACTGGGACAGGGCTGGGATTCAATCCAAAAAGCTAGCTCGCTTCCCTGTACACGTGTTGACTCCCCAAGATCAAGGTTAGTGACCAAAAGTATAGACAATATGGTTCCAGCTCGACCTCAAATCAAATCAAAAGTTATTTGTTACATACACATGTTTAGCAGATGTTATTGCGGGTGTAGCGAAATGCTTGTGCTTCTAGCTCCGACAGTGCAGTAATATCTAACAATTAATATCTAGGCCATAGAGAATGATAGAGATATCATATTTATACATGTCCCATTATGGCGTCTGTGTGTGCACAGGCAGCGCCATTGAGGCAATCTCCATTTTTAAGTAGTACATTTTCTTGTTCTGAGTTGGCAAACAAACTGAAAGGTTGCATACTGCCCCCTAGAGTGTGTTGTTTGAACAGTTATAATGCCAAGGTTGGTGATTTACTGCCACCTACAGTTGTGGAATGTTTGTTCACGAGTAGGCTATAATTAATTGGCTGATCCCTCCTGATGAGCCGGATGGAATCATGTGATCCTTCCTTAACCCATAGGAAGTCCCACCCAGTTGACTACTTTAAAATGGTAGAAGCCCTCAATGGCAATGTCCATGACAAAACAGGTTTTCTCCATCTAGAGTCCTCTATCTAACACTATGACCTAGTCTTTTTAGGCCGGTTAGGGAGTTTCTCTCCCATTGGATTGAATCCTAACTTGAGATCTGTATGCGTAACTAACTCTAGCTTAGTTGCAAATCTACCATTACTATCAAGGCATATGATTTACACTTAAATCATACCCAAAAGTACTGTCACAGTTCTAATGTTATATGTCCCACTCATATTGGTTGCGGACATAGAGATAGAGGACTCTAGTGCCCAAAAGGTTGTTTTAGCATGGGCAGCGCCATTGAGGACTTTCACCATTTTGAAGTAGTCAACTGGGATGTCCACACTCTAACCCTAAAGCATGCTTCACGAGTGTGCTCGCATACTCCCTTAAAAGACCTTCGCTTGAAAACCGTACTGTTTGTCCATTTTGAGACGTCGTAGCCAGTTTACAATTCCTCAAAATAGTCAGAATTAATCTAAGATAACTCAAATCTGCCATTCATTTTGATGGTTTTTCTGAGGTGATCTTAGTTGCTCAATTTTACATCTAACTGAGATGTTTGGTGCAGTATTTCTCAAGTGATTTTTTTTTACATGAAAACAATTCATCTCTCGTTGACTGACAACAGACACTTCATTGAAGAATCACTACTGTTGACCAATCACCGACAAAAGGGCGTAGACTTCGGCTTCTAACTTTTGCTTGCCTCGAGAAAAAATGTTGTGCGCACGAACAGAAACATCACAAAATGTCGTCATAATATATGCACAAACTACCCTAACCCAAACGTCTTTTAAATTTCAACTTCAATGGGATGACGTCAGAGTTGGGATGTCCCTAGGATCCCGTTTAGACTTTTCTGTGCTCTCACAGACATAAACAATATTGCAATGTCTATCTAAGCCTATGGTTCCGAAAAATAAATGAACCTGTTGCCATAAGCCCCGTTTATAGCTGGTTCTAACTTGCGTCCTTTGTCCTGATCTTGTCAACATCCTGATTGTGCCCACATTTTTACACAGGTGTTGACAATCAAAAGACACATTGTAATCTGATTGTGATCAGATCATCCTGCCTACCTCCGGAGGTAGTCAGACACACATTGTGTCTGGATATTTTACAAGTGTAGACAGATCCAGACAGAGAAACCATTTAAATCATAATTATTCCACTCTCTAAAATCATTGACAGGTGGCACCATTTACTGATTACATCAATATGTGTCTTACAATAAATAAATATTATTTTGTAAGAATAGCTGTGAAATAATTAGCATAAAGGAAGGGACAAGGAAATCTGGTCAAAATGCAAACACAGTGGACGGATAACAGACACATTTTAATAGCATACTGTATGTAGACACATTTCTGGAAATGTGGGCACCATCAGAATGTAGGCAAGATCAGGACAAAGGACCCATGTTAGCACTAGGTATAAACAGGGTCATAGTTTCCCAAGACTAGTCCCATATGAGATTGTTAGGTCACGGTCATTCCCTTTGGTGTTGCCGTCATGGCGAGCAGAGGGTGATGCTGATGCCCTCCCCTATCCAACAGGCGGGGAACAGCTCCTGAGTGAAGGCACAGTGGAAGGCATGCAGCCGCGTCTGCCCGTCTCCATAGTACGTCAGTGTTCCAGCCTCGTAGTCCAGCAGAATTCCGATGCGGGAGTGGTGGGAGTGGCCAGCCACCGTCTCCCGGCGCCCGTTGTGCCAGGCGCTCAACTGGCGCTCATCCAGCTGGAGGCTCCAGGACAGATCGTTCATTCCAACCATGCACCTTTTCCCCTTTTCCTTCCTGGGGATGCCCTCGTAAGTCACCTGGGGGAGAGACGCATGGGTCAAAGGTTATGTTAGGAAGAGGTGCAGTCAAAATTTCTAAAGACACAGGCACAATTATATACAGTTTATACAAATATTTACATATAATTCAGCTGCCATGGCCTTCACACCTTCTTACCCCCAGGTAGGCCCATGGCTTGGACAACTCCATCTCCCAGTAGTGCCGTCCGTGTTTGAAGCCCTGGAAGCAGAGCACCTGCCAGGTGTGGTCAAAGCGAGCCTCGTGGGCTGGGACAGGGCGCGGCCCAGAGGTCAGGTGTTCCGCCCGTAGGTTCTCCTGGGAGAGGAGCAGGTGACCGTTGGCCGTGCGAGGGTCAAAGGTCAGGGTGCAGCAATCTGAGGTGGAGGGGGGAGGTAGCATGTGAGAAGACATTTAGGTGTACAGCTTATTAATCTAAATTAGCTCTAAAACAAAGGATAGGTGATAGATAAAGTTTATGTTGGCAAACTTTTGAACATCATTCAGGTTACTAATTATCCAGAATACATTTTTATGCTATTATTTACACTTACTGGTGTTAATATCTGAGAGTTTTATGTTAAAGTAAGGAACGACCACATACATTCGCTGAGGCCCTCCTTCTCAGCTGGGTGACATGGAGCAGCAGGACTGGGGACCACAGCCAGGACGGGGCGCTTATCCTGGGGAGAACCTAGGGAAGAGAGGGGGTGGGGGGATGGGGAAGAGGAGTGCGATTGGGGGAGAAACACAGAGACAGACATTTTAAAAGATTGGAGATGACTATCCATAAAAACAACACACACAGCTCTAGCTAAATATAGAGCAGTTACCTTGGCAAAGTAAGACAAATATGCTCCTCATACAATACGGTTACCTTGCTTGTCCTGACCTTACACACAGCCTCCTCCTTCATACAGTGAGGTTAGGTTACCTTGCTTGTCCTGACCTTACACACAGCCTCCTCCTTCATACAGTGAGGTTAGGTTACCTTGCTTGTCCTGCCCCACAGCTGTAGACAAAGCCTTCTCCAGGTCCTCAGACACTAGCTTGGAGAGCCGTGACAGGATGTCTGTCACCGCGCTGAGCCTCTCCTGCAGGTTTGGGGTCACATCCACTTGAATGTCCTTCATACGAGGGACCTCCACCAGCCGAGACTCCTACAGAGCAAAGGAGGAAAATTATATAGTATGATTAATGTCAATAATAATACAATATGGGAATTTTATCCCAAAGCTACTTAAGAGCTAATATGTACATATATTTTTATGTATGTGATTTATGCAGTGTTGTAGTACTCAAGTACAGGACTCAAGTACGATTCGAATCCCGATTTTCATGTCTTGTGACTCAACTTGGACTCGCCCATTGGTGACTCGGACTTGCCTTCCCGTGACTGGTATTTACACTTGGACTGGATAGGCTACTATGATAAGCAGAATATTAGCCGCACTGATGACTTTGCAAATCCAATTAGTTTTCCACGTTGTTTCAACATCATCACATTGATTTTCTGGGGTTGAAATGACATGGAAACAACGTTGATTCAACCAGTTTTTGCCCAGTGGATAGGCTATAGCAGGGGTGTCAAACTCATTCCATGGAGGGCCTTGTGTCTTCTGGGTTTTGGTTTTTCCTTTCAATTAAAACCTAGACAACCAGGTAAGAGGAGTTACTAATTAATTACCTTAATTTATCAATCAAGTACAAGGGAGGAGCGAAAACCTGCAGACACTCGGCCCTCCGTGGAACGAGGTTGACACGTGGGCTAGAGCCTGGTCAACCGTGGGGCAATGGCATACACAACAGTATCATCGGCATACAAGTGCGTGTCTTTTTTTTTATTTCAGACAAGTCAATATTGTTCATGTAAACCGTAAAAAGTACAGAACCCAGACCCCTGTGTGACACCTTTCGTCATGTCCAGAAAACCTGATTTAACACCATCAATAGATACACATTGAGTTCTATCTGTCAAGTAATTTTTAAACCAATTACATGCAGCCTGGTCTAGACCAATTGAGGAAAGCCTCTGAATTAGCAGTGAGTTATCAACAGTATCGAAGGCCTTTGAAAGGTAGATGAAGAGGGCAGCACAATGTTGCCTTTTATCCATGCAATTAACCACATACTTTATAACTAGGGATGCAGCAGATATGGTGCTTTGACATGGTCTAAAACCCGACTGATGTACATTTGGAATACATTTCATAGATAAGAATGATCTTAGCTGAGAATTAATCAAGGATCCTAATATCTTTGCTAGGCAAGAAAGTTTTTTAATGGGGTGATTAGTTATTTAGGTCACAACAGTCACCACCTTTGTGAAGGGGGAGTAAATGAGCTGCCTTCCAAACCTTGGGGATAGTACCAGATATAATCGTCAGATAAAAAATATACGTTAATGATTCCGCAATCAGGGGGGCAGAGAGCTGCAGCAAATATATATCAAGCATATCAGCTCCAGTGGATTTTTTTTACATTAGTCTTAAGCAAGGCATCTAGCACATCACAGGTAGTAAATTGTTGAAATGAAAACAAACATTCACTAGAAGTTGACGGGTTAGCTAGAGGGTAGGGGAGGGAAGAGCAGTCAATTGACTGACCAGGTCAAATACACCACCGTTTCTCTAAAATAGAAAACCTGCCGAGATGATAAAATGCTGGTTAAAAGCATCACTTATCCCATTCCTCTCAGTAATGATGCCAGAGTCAGACAGAACATACCTAGGCATGGTAGAACTGTTTTCCAAAATGTAGAAGAATCACCAGACAATCAGAGATAGAGCTTAAAAAGTAGCTTGATTTAGCATTCTTAATCGAGATAATACATCTGTTTCTCAGTTGTCTGAAAGATTGCCAATCCACTACAGAGTCAGTTTTCCTTGCTTGGCCCATGCCTGGTTTCTCATCTGAATGAGCTCAGATAGATCTAATCCTTGGTTTTCTTCTGCGCCATCTTTGACTCTGAATTGTTTAAAATGGGCGTGTTCATCTGCCAGAGGAATAAATATGGAGGAGACATTTTCTAGAGCCAACTCAGGGTCAGGAATACAGGAGACAGTGGATAATTGTCACCCACAACGATATCGGAGAGGGGACTGTGGATCAGTCTCCGTCCGTACATATGTTCGTACGTTAGTCACACACGATATCTCAGACAGCACTGGCCCGATTTTGGGTGAATTAGTTGTCTTGCCATAGAGATCTGGCATTTACAAAATTACACTGATTGGCCCAAGGCGAAAGCCATAATGAACTGAAATTTGTGAGTCACACCAGAGAGGAAGTGTCGAAGCGAGAGGGATAATTGGGCCCAAAATCTGTCTTCTCCAGCAGGTGGTGTTTTTTCTTTGGCACGTGACATGGAGGACAGGAAATTGATTAACTAAAGAGACTGGTACGCAGGCTAACTGCCTTCTATTTTTAAGACATTTATTTTCATTGTTAGAGTGGCCACTTGAGTATCTGGTCAATATAATGGATAATCTTTAGTCACACACGTGCTGCATCATTCGTGGGGGGCGACATGTTTACTGTTGCCTTGTTTAGAGTAGAATATGTCATGTAAAAACCCTTGAGTAGAAAAGGAAATAATTCCTACCTGTGTTAAAGACATTATGTAATTTAGTTGCTTATTGTTTATGTCACATTTTGGCTTTAATGTTGGCTGTATATACACCACCAGTCAAACGTTTGGACACACCTACTCATTCTTTATTTATAAAAAAAAATACATTGTAGAATAATAGCGAAGACATCAAAACTATGAAATAACACATCTGGAATCATGTAGAAACCAAAAAGGTTCTTCAAATGGCCACCCTTTGCCTTGATGACAGCTTTGCACACTCTTGGCATTCTCTCAACCAGCTTCATGAGGTAGTCACCTGGAATACATTTCAATTAACAGGTTTGTCTTCTTAAAAGTTAATTTGTGGAATTTATTTCCTTCTTAATGCGTTTGAGCCAATCAGTTGTGTTGTGACAAGGTAGGGGGGGTATACAGAAGACAGCCCTATTTGGTAAAAGATCAAGTCCATATGATGGCAAGAACAGCTCAAATAAGCAAAGAGAAATGACAGTCCATCATTACTTTAAGACATGAAGGTCAGTCAATACGCAACATTTCAATAACTTTGAAAGTTTCTTCAAGTGCAGTCGCAACAACCATCAAGCGCTATGATGAAACTGGCTCTCATGAGGAACGCCAAAGGAATGGAAGACCCAGAGTTACCTCTGCTGCAGAGGATAAGTTCATTAGAGTTACCAGCCTCAGAAATCGCAGTCCAAATAAATGCTTCACAGAGTTCAAGTAACAGACACATCTCAACATCAACTGTTCAGAGGGGACTGTGTGAATCAGGCCTTCATGGTCGAATTGCTGCAAAGAAACCACTACTAAAGGACACCAATAAGAAGAAGAGACATGCTTGGGCCAAGAAACACGAGCAATGGTCATTAGACCGGTGGAAATGTGTCCTTTGGTCTGATATCCGCATGTGTAGTTCCCACCGTAAAGCATGGAGGAGGTGGTGTTATGGTGTGGGGGTGTTTGCTGGTGACACTGTCTGTGATTTATTTAGAATTCAAGGCACACTTAACCAGCATGGCTACCACAGCATTCTGCAGCAATGCGCCATCCCATCTGGTTTGGGCTTAGTGGCACTATCATTTGATTTTCAACAGGACAATGACCCAACACACCTCCAGGCTGTGTAAGGGCTATTTGACCAAGACGGAGAGTGATGGAGTGCTGCATCAAATCAAATTAAATTGTATTTGCCACATGCGCCGAATACAACAGGTGTAACATTACAGTGAAATGCTTACTTACAAGCCATTAACCAACAATGCAGTTTAAGAAAAAAATTAAAATAGCAAATAATTAAAGAGCAGCAGTAAAATAAAATAACAGTAGGGAGGTTATATACAGTGGGGAAAAAAAGTATTTAGTCAGCCACCAATTGTGCAAGTTCTCCCACTTAAAAAGATGAGAGAGGCCTGTAATTTTCATCATAGGTACACGTCAACTATGACAAACAAAATGAGGAAAAAAAATCCAGAAAATCACATTGTAGGATTTTTAATGAATTTATTTGCAAATTATGGTGGAAAATAAGTATTTGGTCAATAACAAAAGTTTCTCAATACTTTGTTATATATATTGGCAATGACACAGGTCAAACGTTTTCTGTAAGTCTTCACAAGGTTTTCACACACTGTTGCTGGTATTTTGGCCCATTCCTCCATGCAGATCTCCTCTAGAGCAGTGATGTTTTGGGGCTGTCGCTGGGCAACACAGACTTTCAACTCCCTCCAAAGATTTTCTATGGGGTTGAGATCTGGAGACTGGCTAGGCCACTCCAGGACCTTGAAATGCTTCTTACGAAGCCACTCCTTCGTTGCCCGGGCGGTGTGTTTGGGATCATTGTCATGCTGAAAGACCCAGCCACGTTTCATCTTCAATGCCCTTGCTGATGGAAGGAGGTTTTCACTCATAATCTCACGATACATGGCCCCATTCATTCTTTCCTTTACAAGGATCAGTCGTCCTGGTCCCTTTGCAGAAAAACAGCCCCAAAGCATGATGTTTCCACCCCCATGCTTCACAGTAGGTATGGTGTTCTTTGGATGCAACTCAGCATTCTTTGCCCTCCAAACACGACGAGTTGAGTTTTTACCAAAAAGTTCTATTTTGGTTTCATCTGACCATATGACATTCTCCCAATCCTCTTCTGGATCATCCAAATGCACTCTAGCAAACTTCAGACGGGCCTGGACATGTACTGGCTTAAGCAGGGGGACACGTCTGGCACTGACCCCACGGGGTGAGATCTTGCGTGGAGCCCCAGATCGAGGGAGATTATCAGTGGTCTTGTATGTCTTCCATTTCCTAATAATTGCTCCCACAGTTGATTTCTTCAAACCAAGCTGCTTACCTATTGCAGATTCAGTCTTCCCAGCCTGGTGCAGGTCTACAATTTTGTTTCTGGTGTCCTTTGACAGCTCTTTGGTCTTGGCCATAGTGGAGTTTGGAGTGTGACTGTTTGAGATTGTGGACAGGTGTCTTTTATACTGATAACAAGTTGAAACAGGTGCCATTAATACAGGTAGCGAGTGGAGTACAGAGGAGCCTCTTAAAGAAGAAGTTACAGGT